CCCCGGCCGCGGTCCCGGCGGCGCCGCCATCCTCCATTGCTGCCGCCGCCGCCGGGCCCAGGCCGCGCGGACATGGAGGGGAGGGGACTAGCCCGTCACCCCGGCAACAAGGGCGGGGCGAGCGACTCAGTCCCGGTGTAGCCAATGAGCGGCCCGGCCAGCGATGACGCGCAGCCAATCAGCCAAACCTGGAGGTGGAGGCGGGGGTGGGGAAGGAAGAGGCAATGAGAAGTGGGTGACGTAGCCAGCGCTTCGCCCAATGGCAGAGCCGAGCCAATCCCAGAGCGGATGGTGCAGGGGAGGGGCAGACAACAGGAAGCTGCGTCACTCACTGGAAAGCCTGGACGCGCCGCTCACCGCAGCCAATCGGGGGGGCGGGGCCGCACGAAGGGAGGGAAGAGGGGAGACCTCTAAGAAGGGAGGAGGGCTCAGCCAGGAGAGGTGGGGCGAGGAGGTGTGGAAGCCCCGCCCCTCCCGGCTGAGCCCGTCTTCCTTCCACCTCCCCGCAAATCGCCGCGCGCGAGAGCGCTGGGCTCCGCCCGCTGCCTTCAACCATCCCGCCCCACATTTCCGTTCTGCGTCGCGGCCCTTTTGGTTCCAGCCGCGTTCCCATCCGGGCCCCTTTCTCCACCGCACCCGCCCGCGCGCTCGCCATGGCCTACCCCGGCGAGGACTACGACAACGAGGTTCAGCCAAGCGGGGAGGGCCCGGGAGTCCGGGGTCCGGGGTTCGGGCTCGGGCTCGGGCTCGGGCTGGGGCTCGGGCTCGGGACCGGGACCTCGTGGTGACCGTCTTTCTCCGCCCCCCTCCACAGGCCTCCTACGACCCCTACACCTACCCCGGCGACTATGACATGCACACGGGTGAGTCGCCGGGCCGGGCCGGGCCGGGCCGGGCCGGGGGGAGCTGAGGCGGGCAGGGCTGATGTGTCACGGACCCCGCCCCCTTGTCTGCCCGCAGGAGACCCGAAGCAGGACCTGGCATACGAACGGCAGTATGAGCAGCAGACCTACCAGGTGATTCCAGAGGTGATCAAGAACTTCATCCAGTACTTCCACAAGACCGTCTCGGACCTCATCGACCAGAAGGTGTACGAGCTGCAGGCCAGCCGCGTCTCCAGCGACCTTATCGACCAGAAGGTCTACGAGATCCAGGACATCTATGAGAACAGGTGCCCTAGGCTGTGCCATGCTGCTTGGGAGCGCTCCTCCATCCCACTCCCGCACACAGGGACCTCTTGTGCTGCTTGGGCAGTGCTGAGGAGCAGCCCTGACCCAAATTGGGCATTGGCTTCAAACAGCAGCTCCCAGCCAGGCCACCACAGCCTCCTGGGATGCTCTGAGAGATGTTGACTGGAGCCACAGGGCCTGTGCCATGTTAGTGCCATTCAGTGCATGTATGTGACTCACAAAATGAATCCAATAATTTTGGAGAAAAGACCGTAGTGTTACAACCCTTCTGCCCCATTGCAGCTTTCTGAGTTCTTTTGCAACAGAAAAATGGCCCTTTTTTTTTTTTTTACCATGATCGAGAAAGTGGAAGCTTAAGAGCTGGCATTTTTGGAGGGGTGCCATGAGTGAGCCCCAAGGAGGGGGATGCTGTGAGTCTAAAAAGGTTGAGGGCTGCTGGCTTAAAAAACAGGGTTGTGGCTGGATTTGAGTAGCTAATGAGGGCAAGATCCTGTCGTTCCAAGTCACTGGTTCCCAAACTTTGACAGATTGTGCACCGCTAATTTAGAACAATGCAAGCTTCAGTACCACCAGCAAATCTTTGTCACATAAAATAATAAATCTGTTAACACGTACCACTAACAGGTTGTCTGCATACCACTGGTAGTACCTGTACCACAGATTGGGAACTGCAGTTCTAAGTCATTTGTTTCCCTCAAGCCAGACAGGTAGCGATTAAAGGAGAATGGCACCAATTAGCACATTTGATCAGGTCAGCAGAAATGCCAAGAGTTGAAGAGACCCATGCAGCACTTGCTATCCTCATCCTTTCCAAAAGTGGCTTCTGTAGCTTGTGTCTGAAGTGTGCAGGCGAGCAGGGCAAGGTGTATGTGAGCAACTTACAACTCTTTTCTGGACTCTGAGGATAAAGATTGCCCAAATTTATTTATGAATCCAAAACAGAAGGGGCTTTAACAAGGCATGTTGTCTAAATTGGAAATGTGTCTTTTAACTCCCTCCCCCTCTCACTGAGAAATTAATGATACCAGGAGTATAAAAGATACAGCCCCTACAGCCCTGTCACACAGCCTGCAATGCTGCCTGTGGGTTTCAAATCGCAGACATGCAGTGTTCACTGGACCATACCTTTGGGGCTGGATACGGTACACGTAGCATGCTGAATACAGTGCATGGGGCCAGTCTGTGGGCCTAATCCAGCCTGCAGACTGGATCCAAGCCACTCACCTGGCCCACAGGGCCTGATGAGTCTGATACCTCCAAATGTATTCAGTCTCTAAAGTTTGCTATGTGTGTTTTATCTTGCAGCTGGACCAAGCTAACAGAAAGGTTTTTTAAGAACAGTCCTTGGCCAGAGGCAGAGGCCATTGCACCACAGGTTGGCAATGGTAGGTATTTTATTCCTTTTTGCTTTGGTCATTTGAGAAAGAAACAAAGTGACTTCTTCAGGAAGAGGCCTAGTTGAAATTTCGGACCCACTTATAAGGCCCTAACTTTGACCCCTTGATTGTCCCTGTTAGATAGCAAAAAAGCCAAGAGTTTGAAGACTAATACTGTACTTATATCTCCTTCCAAAATCATCTCTGTGGCCTTATGATGAAAAATTGGAGGAGAGGGATGTAATCTGACACTTCTGGATCGGCAGGCTAGTGTTCCAAGAGTTTTGTAGAGAAGTTAAGTTGTTCTTGCTCTTGGCTTGCTCAACTTCTTCCTTTCTGTCTTTTTTTACATAGAGAAAGTAGTGACTTGCAGTCTCCTTTGTTTTGACATCCTCCGTGTGCTAAATTGGTAGACAGTGACCCTAGTATTTCCTCGCACCATATCTTTCCACAGATGCTATTTATGCTGGTGTTATCCATTTTTCTCTCCTCATGTCTCTGTTCTTCCTTATTTTCATTCTTTTTTTCTATTGATTCAAATTCATTCTCTCCCTACCTGTATAAACTCAACACTGTACTGCTCAGGGTGAGGGCTGTGTGTGGCTAGAGAGATGCTCTTGTATTTGAAGTCAGAGCAGATGCACAGAGCTGCTTTCTCACGCTTTGCTTACTGTTGATGCTGTGGCCATCTCTTCAAGTTGCCTGGCAGAATATTGGACTTGAAAGTAGAGGTACACTGATACATTGGTCCAATATTGAATTGGCACTGATATAAAGAAAATGATCTATGTCAGAAATCAGCCGTAAGTGGCTGATAATTGGGCTGATAAATGCCCATGCATGCGTGCAGCTGCAGTGCAGCACGTAGGCAGTGAAGGCACAGTGGCAGTGTGGAGAGCTGCCAGCTGGTAAGTCTGCTGTAGTAGAAGGGGAGAGGGAAGGGAAGAGATGGTGGGGGAGGGCAGATCAAGGCCCCTGCGGTGAGGGAGGGAATGAGGCAGGGGTGGGGCAGGCAGGGGACGGAGCAGGGCTTGTTTTGGGGCAGCGGGGCACAGAGGGAGGTAGTGCCTCCCACTGCTGCTCCTGCCACTTGTCTGGGGGTGGGGAGGGGGGGCATGTGCTTCCAGATCTGTGGGGGGCAGGTTGGGGCCAGGGCTGCATGGGGCTGTTCCCGACGTAGCCTGGGCCAGGCTGGGAATGGGGCAACACTGCTGGGAGGGGGCTACAGGGAGGACTGGAGCCACCCCAAATTTTGTTGTAGTGCCCCACCTGGCCGTAGCCCAGGCTCTACCAGAAACAGCCTCGTGCAGCCACAGTCCCAGTCCACCCCACCCTGTGCAGATCTGGGGGCACAGGCCCCTACCTCCGTGCCCTCCTAAATAAGGAGCAGGAGCAGAGGCAGGAGCTGGCCCATGAGTGTGCGTGGCAATGGGAACCGCTTCCCTGCCCCGGTGCCCCCTGGATGAGCCCTGCTTCATCCCCTGCCACCCCACCTCAACAGCACTTGCCCCAGTCCTTGCCTTACTCCCTGTCTCACCACAGGGGCCTTGATCTGCCCCCCTGCCCACACCCCTTCCCTTCCCCCTCCCCACTCTCCTTCCACCACAGCAGACTTACCAGCTGGAGGCAGCCATGTCGGAAATCAGATCAGGATCGGCCAATATGCCTCCATAAAAATCGGCTATCAGTATTGGCCCAAAAAATGTCTATCTGTGCACCCCTACTTGAAAGCATTGCTTGTATCTTTACCAAAAAACATGCTCACAGTGGGAAGTGGGAATGAATTCAGGCCATGCAGCACTCCATAAGCTTGCTTGTTGGCTCCTTTATTTTTCCCTAACATCTTCAGAGCTAGAAAACACATTCTTAAATATTTTTCCCACTCAAGCCTTATGGTGACTTTTGATCCTCTCATTCCCTTGCCTGTTTCACAAACACTGGGATGACTGCGGTATATAGGAGGTGTCTATCATTGTTGAAAGCCTGACCCAAGTGGCTTGCTAATGCCAGTTTTGTTCTCTCTTCAGATGCTGTCTTTCTGATTCTGTATAAGGAGCTGTATTACAGGCATATTTATGCTAAAGTCAGTGTGAGTATCTGCTGTCTTATCCTCCTGGTTACATGAAGGGTTAGCTGTGTCTCTTGTTCTTTAAGTCTCGTCTTCTCCTGCCTATGAAGAGACTCTGGACAAATCCTGTAGATTAAGTCTGTGCCTGTTGTCATGTGGTC